CTCCACGCGTTCCCACCCCTTCCCTTCCCCTCCGCCCCTCCAAAAAAACCCCCACCGACCTCCACCGCTCCTACAAAGCACCCAGCGGTTTCAGATACGCATAGAACATCCCCCTCTGCATCGCTTGTCGCCGCCTGCAACGCACCGCTCCACGCGTCCGTCACCCCTTCGCTTCCCCCACTCCTGAGAGCTCCGACAAACCACCCAGTCGTTTCAGATACGCGTAGAACATCCCCCATTGCATCTTTTTGTCGCCGCCTGCAACAGATCGAATGACACTCGCTCCACACATCCATCACCCCTTCCCTCCTCCCCTCTCCCCAAACCGATATGTATCACACCCCGTTATATAATTTGAAAATAATAAATAAATAAAGCTGATGCTCTAAATGTAAAAAGGCTCCAACATATACCACTAGTAATAGGGAACATGAGATCCATCGTACACGTGTTTTGCACCCCAAAATTTGACCGTTCAAACGCCCATAATCAAAGTTTCTACGTACAATTTGAAGCGCTTGAGCTTTACAAGATCTTACTGTTTCACGACAGGTAAATGGGAAGAATTTAATGACTTCTTCTTCTTCTTCTTCCTCCATGTCGTCTTCCCCCTCACTATTTCTTCGTCCTTCTTCTCCCCTTTGATCTGCAGCAGATGCGTATACCTTGTTGGCCACTTGTCGAACGTCCCCAACAGCCCGCCGCCGTCGAGAATCTCCGGTGCCAGCGAGAATCCCGTGAGAATCTTGATGTTCTTATCCCGGGGAAGGGAATCTTCGTCAGGCTCGCAGATGGACTGCACTGTATCCGAACTATCACACTCCCTTCTGTACTCCAGAACGATGCTTGAGAGCTGGTGGTCCTCCATGAACTCGTCAGGAATCGTCTGCAGTCATGATCATGTGATCTGGTAACTTAGATGCTGGATTTTACGCAGTATGAGGAAGATTCAAGCATTTACCTCAAGCATCCATCTCACGTACTTTACGTTGTTGACATGGTGGTTCATGTCCAAGTCGTTCCATTTTGGCTACACAAAACGATGGGCGATGAGCTTCGACAGAACTGTAACGCTCTGTTGATGAGGGGAGAACGATTACCCACCATCAAGTTGGAGTTGACGTACTTTGCGTTGTCATCGAGCTTGTCGATCTTCTCAAGAGCTTCTTCGTGGACTGCTCTCGTTTCGGTGAACCACGGGGAGATCTCATCTCTCACCTCTTCTGGCATCTTGGAGAGCCGCCTGGTTTGCTGGTTCATCATCACCCAAGTGCTGCTCAATCCAGTTCATGGCATCATCAGATCACGGAGAAACATCGAGGAAGAGAGAGAGAGAGAGAGCAAAAGAGATCGAAGTAC